GGATCGTTATTGAATCTACAATATACAATTCGTATAAGATATGTATTATAAGCCAAATGACCGTCGTCTCACTTCTCTGCAAATGCACGTCTAGTAGTTGAATCTCCCCCCACCAATACTGTTACTGACTTTGTTTCYTGGTCTCAGACAAAACGAAATATGTGGGGTGACATACAAGGTTGGACGAGACCCTTGCGGTTCGTCAAATACGTTTCTTTACTCGGTCAGAGTCTTTTTCGTGTTTATTATGACATTTGAACAAATTAGACGCATCTCAGAACAATTCAGAGCCTCCCGGAGATTCACTCACACATGACCGACCTTCTAAGCAAAATCCAAATTACGATAAGAACATACAGGAGCTGGGGTTTTATATATTTTCCACAGTTTATTAGAGCACCATCCAACATCAAGTCGACTAAACGACAAAAGTTGGATGTTGTTGGTTCAGTCACTTAAAAACGAARAGTTCTCACAAACCTGTGAACGATTGAATGTCTCGATCCAGCGGGTGTTGAGCCATCCAGACGTAAATACGTYACACTAGGCATGTGACCTCTAAAAATAGTAAATAATAGAAATAATTAATGACACAAGGTACCATGGATAGTCTTACTAGGTATGTTAGGTTTCGAACCGTTGCCCCTCATATGAAAAACATAGACTGCGTTGTTTGATTAGACTCTTATTGTACGAGCCTGGACATTGCAACTTTTGCCTTCAACTATCGCATGCAATCTGCCCAAGTCATACAACATGGCTACAACTGTCGTAAAGATTCAAAATAATTATTTAATAGCAAAACGACAGTTGTACCCATATTGTATGGTTGACTAAGACACGTTGCATGAGATGGTTCTAGGCAAACACTTTAATGTCGKTTAATTCTGGTATTCTGGTAATGGTGCAAAAAAAGGGTGATTGAATTATTAAGCGCATATGATCATAAAATGATCAATAGTTTTTGATTATTAAATCGTAAATTATTTTAGATAATTATCATCGTACTTGAGTAGATCCTTTTCAACAATGTCCAGCATACTCTTCATTTGACAGAACAATAACACGCGGTGCTGTGAGACGACGGGCTCTGATCCAAGATCACCAGAYCCAGCGGTAGTAACCCCAATGCCGCAGTCTAACAGTAGTTGTCTGAAAGGTATAGTAAATGAAGAAGAGRTCAGAACTAAATCCTTGATATCACACGAAATCCATGATTTGAAACAATAAATACAACGCTATATAACTAAATTCCGTGAAATACAACAGTAAATCTGTGAAAAACCTTAAACCCGTGAAACAAAAACCGAAATCGTGTCCATCAACTGTGAACACTTTTGAAATGCCTTTCCATTTCGACAAGACACAACGATTTGGACCAGACTCGTACCCAGCCGTACTCTTCTTTTTTTCTCAGGCGCACGCAAAGGATCAAGGGAAGTTRGAAGAAAACTTTCTTCTTTCTTCGAGTTCGGACTTYCCTTGATRCAATGCGACCCGTAAAAGAGCAAAAGAATAGAATGGGTAAGAGCCTGGATTAAGATCAGTCTAGTATGAGTACAACTGACGCTAAGTAATGCTTACTTTAACGCTACTAGTTTAGCAGCATGTTGTATATCTCTGATTGATCCCTTTGTGTCGTGTAGTTGCTGCATTATCTTCTCGTACTCGGGATGGTTTGGAGTCAGGACGAGTAATGGATGATT